GATCGACTACGGTCCCAGCGCCAGGTTGCTCCACAAATCTGAAGTGGCCGTGACATGCTAGCAAGCTGCGCTTGTTGATCCCCCCACAGATGACAGATGACAGGCCCAACACGGTGCCGATGATGACGTATGTATGTACGGCCTATGGAGCTCTCGAAGGCTCTCTGGATACTTATTAGTGGAGCAATTTTGTGGTATTTTTAGCAGGACTCTGTCCCTGGAGATGCGGTGATGGCTATCACTTCCTTCTCTTCTCTTCCCAAGAAACAATGTGATCCAGTATGTATCCATGAAGGCAGGAGTTTAGTCTTCTTGCAGTGCAATTCATGTGCTTCCGATCGAACTTGGTCTTCCCCCTAGTCCTATCGGTGCACGATACAGTACACTGCCTATGTTTCTCTACATTTTTAATTATTTACAGTACCTTTATTCTCCCTCCATCAATTAATTGGTGGGTGCATACATGTAAGACGACGAGGAGACATCGTCTGGGATTCGCATCCTTCCGAAATATCTATCGCACGTAATCAAGCAGCAGCAGTAGCCATGAGCAAACCGAGCACCATCTTTCTGGGCCTGCGTATTTCCGCCTCTCTCATTTCTATCACCGGCGCCATTGGTCTCGGATGGGCAACTGGGGTCTTATCTTCACCGGATACAGGCCCGTTCGCCGAAACAATCGGGATATGTTCCGTACGTTAGAGTCTCCCCCTTTCCACCACAAATCCATCCCGTATATACCAAGGCGCCACAGACAGCTGATCGATATTATAAAAACCAACAATAAAAAAAAACAATCAATATAGTTTTCCATCTCAGCATTATGGTCCTTGATAGCACTCACCTTAAGTTTCTTTGTCGGAAAAGACCGCATCCAACCTGCCGTCGGCGTCACGCTTGATTTACTCCTGGGGCTGTTTGCTGTCGTGGGAGGAATTTTTGTGTCCATCTCGCCGTTCTCCGATGCGGATTGGATCAATTGCAGTAGGGGCCGGTCGACCTCCATCTGCGGGAACCCTGCGGAGAGGAGTTCTGTCATCTGGCGATTCTTTGCGGCCGCGTTTTGTTTCATGAACGGGTGAGTAAAACCATAATCGAACGTGCTCTCGTCTCGTTGCATCTTTTTTTTGTTCCTTGTTTAGGGAGAAACGCAAATGGGAAGGGAAGAAAGGGGAAATACATACATTTACGCCAAGCCTTAACGTACTGTGTGGAATCGGATCTAACAAGGCCAAT